AGGGATGGTAATTTAGTCCATGCCGTCTAATGATGTCCTCAATGGGTTAAGTATATAATAAGTATAGAATCGGACCCAGTACTGATCCCTGGGGAACACCGTACCGAAGTTCTTTCGTCTTTGACTTGTTTTCATCAATTATCACACACTGTTTTCGGTCTTGGAGATAGGATCGAAACCATTTTAGCACATTTCCTTTTACTCCATAGCGTTTTGCCATTCTTTCCAGTAGGAGATCGTGGTCGACTGTATCAAACGCCGCAGACATGTCCAATGAGTGAGTGTCAGTGAGTGTGGGGTGCGGCAGGTTTTCTTTTTAGAATGTGTTTAGATATTATAATGCACCGATCAAACCAATTGAGATATTTCTGCAACAAGAACTTTTGTCGGGTTTAAATTGCACAGAGTCATGAAACGATTGTAAGATGGTCATTGTTTTTCTCGGTTTTTGCTGTCTTCCGAAGTGTCACGACAAAAACTGAAAACATAATGTGCTATTGGCTATAAGCCAGAAATCACGAGAGGCGAGAACTCAACTAAGTATTTAGTGTGAATGTCGAACTACTGACTAAAGATGCTCCGCAAAAACAATAGGTACTTTACGAACCAGAACGCGACGCAGTTTGAAAACATCGAAACCGAGAAGGGCCCGGGGCGAGAACGTTGTCAGGAGCGCGGGAAAAACAAAGTTACGGATGCGAACGCGACGACAGAGACAGAACTGGGCAAATCCTTTATACTCCGCTAAACATATTTTCGTTTTATAGCTGATGTTATACGTCATAATGGCAACATTCAGAGAGGCGAGGGAAGCTTTATTGTTTGCCTATTCTATCCCAAATTTCGCTTCTTTGCGACGAACCCTTTCTTGTTTTGAACGGATTCTGGAAACAACCTCTCTACAAAACAGGATACCATGCTCGCTTCTCGAGTACATCACATTACTGCGTGAAAAAAAGCACAGCCTGTTTTAGTTTGTTTTCAATGAAGAACATAAATATAAAGTTTAAACTCAATTTCATCGTATAGTTTAGCAGACTCGGCGGCTCTGCGTGTTGTCCATTCATCGTAGCTGTAACCAATTGACCTGCAGTAAAAGGCAAATTAAAATGTTTGTTGATATTTCTACAAAAAAATAACACTTTCATGGACTCCTAAAAGCAGTTTTGCCTATAAGGTAGCAAAAGAAATTTTATTTCCAGTTCAAATTCAGTAGAAACTACTCACGTTTTCTGGAAACGCTGCAAGTGCCAATCTCGTGTTCTGAACGCGAAGAAGACGCGTTGCAGTTTAGCGCTAAGCATGCGCAGTGAAGCACTTTGTGAGCAAATTACTTCCGGTGACGTTTCAGGCTGCGTCGCGTTCTGGTTCGTAAAGTCCTTAATAAGTAGTACAGGGAAACATCGGGTCTAAATTGAGTCAAGATCGCAATTCCTTTGTTACACTCACCCGTGTTTTTTCCGGTTTCTGCTGTCTCCGGTTGTGTTACGGCAAAAACTGAAAACATAATGTGCTATTGGCTATAAGCCAGAAAGCACGAGAGGCGAGAACTCAACTGAGTAGTTAATGTGAATATTGAACTACTGACTAAAGATACTCCGCAAAAACAATAAGTAGTACAGTGAAACATCGGGTCAAAATTGAGTCAAGATCGCAATTCCTTTGTTACACTCACACGTTCACTCAACTCGAAAACGTAGGTTGCTTCATCTCTTTTAAGAGGCAATAGCTATAAAAAACCGGAGCTATAAATTGCAGATTCTGGAGAATCGTCAACCTTTCAGTAATTCACGGACGCATGCTAACTTGAATGAGAACTCTACAACAGTCCAGTTTTATCTTCCCACACTAAATTAAAAAAAATATATTTACTTTTTTCGCGAGCATTTTAGACGGGGGAGGAATAAATGTTACATTTTGTAAAGAAACACATTAAATGTGGGAGAGGGGGAAGCGGCGAGGTCTGGGACAGAGAAACGATGATCACACAACTTGCAAAGCGGTCAATTTACGCACTTGTCAGTGGGCTCCCTAGGTCACGCCGGCCGCTAAAATTATTTCCGTGCGATATGTGGTCTTGTAAGTAACTCCTGTTGTTTTTTGAACAACGGTTTAAAAATTTTATCGATACAAAATTTGTTATTGTGGATACGCTCTTTTCATTTGCATGTGCTTTGATTTTGCTTTGGCGAAGCCCGTTCGAGGAACTTTAAAAAAACAAATCCAAGTTCAGATGGAAAATGTCTACGTCGAGAAGTGTAAGTTGCGGCTCAAACTTTTAAGCCTCAATAAGAATCGTACGATCACCTTCACGAATTTCGCTCGCCGTCACTTAAATGAAGAGTTCGTCTTGGAAAGTAATTTCAACTGGTCAAACCTGTACTCTGTATTTAGCTCGGCTGGGTATGGGGAAGGTTCAGTTGCCGCCATTTTTCCTGTCTAGTTTTAGGAAAGGTTTCCGCCACATTGTTGTCAAATGTACTACATGGCTCAAGGTCGGCGTTACGAACGTCGCCTGACTTTGAAACAAGTTAAGAACATCTCATCACCTCTCGTCACATGTTTGGTTTCGTGATAGTAACGAAATTATACTCTACCACTTAACTGAAAGTCAACTTAATTACCCAAAAGACGAAACCACGCTAACCTGAAAATGGGGTTAAACCGCTTCAGACCAACTAAAAATAACACCCACTGTACATTTTGAGCAGATCTAGTAAATGCGTCTACACGTAAATTTTGGAGCAACGCGATCGGCAAAATATAAGCTTTTTCATTCTGAGTTCTCAGAATTTTTTTTCTTTGTCCTACGCTCGTGACAAGACAAAAACATCTTTCTCTATTTATGTATTTTTTTCCAAATGTAAACTGAGTGCAACAAACTGAATTTACGGCCGTATAAGCAATTTTACCCGAAAAGCATTACACTTGAAAAGTGCCTTGTGCATTAAATGTAGCAAGTTGAGTATTATCAGAGTCATAATGGGGTACCACTTCACCAACACAAAACTAATTACGCCAAGTTAGGATAGTTAATATTTAAAACAATATGTTCTTTTAAAGTCGTATGAAAAGTTTTAAATGTCTTTCAATTGCGGTGCAGATACAAATTTATCGGGTGTAACTCAATGCATGAATTCAACAGAAAATATCCAAGAAGGTTATGGACATAGTCTATGAATTGTAAATTGGTAATATGAAAAACAAATTGCTGAAAATGTGCTTTAATTATTGGTGGTCTTGATACGAATTTATGGTTCATGATCTCTCATGAAATTCCGAGTGTGTAACACAATGAATTCACAAAACAATCGGTAGATTATGTAAACTGATTAATGAATTGATAACAGATAATATGAAAAATTGACGTAATATGAAAACTGTAAACAGCAACTATAACGTTTGCTATGTAACCTGCGTATCCGTTATAAGACGCGATCACAGCACGGAAACTTCTTGCTTGCAAAATGGGATGACTAACAATTATAATGACTGGTTCTTTAATTCCAGCTTTAGAAGAAAAGCATATTGATCATAACGCAGCTATCAAAAGTTTATACTAGAGCTGTTTTGCATAGAGAAAGTGGCCCCATGTTTTGAGAGACAAACCATTTTCTGCAGTTTGAACGAATCAAGTAAAAAGCAAGAAAACATAGCGATGAAAATAACCATATCCAAGCGATGTAGTTCACTCTTTCCGCAGTAGATTTGTGAGACCCGCGAGTTTCTTTGCAGCACATCTTAGCAGTCCTTGATTTCTCATAAGTTTGACGGGTTCTAACATGATAATATTGTCAAAATCAAATTGCTGCGTGAGGCCTCTTGTAAACATGAACATTGCAGACTCAGCTTCATTTTCTTTTATTTTTTGCAAAGGCCATTGCCTCAGTTTTAGGGCAAAACCACGCATTCTCGGCCAAAGTGCGAATAACAAATAAACCCTGCGGTAGAACTGAAGAGCAAATGATGGAACCTTGCTTACGCAGCTAGCTATTAAAAATTTTAAAAAAATTCCAGACAAAAACGCATGTCCAGATTTCACGAAAAAATAATCCGTAAGTTAATCAATTTCTTTCGTACCTTAACACCATCAATGAATTAAACTGTCCAAACGAAATAATGTTGAGAATACAGTCTGAATTGATGTTTGAGTGATGGACCGCCGCTAACGTTTACCAACAACGACTGCCAAATAAATATACCTAAACGCCGATTTAATTTTTGCCCTCATCAAATAGCAATGGATTTTTGATTTTTTTTGTTTTGTTTTTTTTTTCATGTCGTTTCTCGCTATCTTTCGCGTTTCCCCGAATATATCGCTCGCATCTATTACTTCTCCCTCTTTCCCATTTCACCCCAAAGTTGGATTAAAATGATTTTTCCGGCTTTAGCCATGAGTATTATTGCTTTATAAGTACGTTCAAAACAATGCTCATGGTTTCTCCGTTTCCCTTCTATTTAGGTAATGTGCTAGACTTCAGAATATTTTCTATTTTTTGCTACTAAAAGAGTTCATTAATTGATGGGAGAATTCTGCATCAAATTGCACTCGAAAAATGATATCGATTTTCAAGTGCAATTTAACGAGGAATTTACAAGTCAAGTAATGAATTTCCCTTGAATCGCATGATTGAATAAAATTAAAAAAGAAAAGAAAAAAAAGGAATTCAGCATTACTTATTGTTGTTATGTATACGTAGACGCGAATCAGTTTCACCTAGCCTCGTTTTCAACTCGCTATTCCACGCTAAACACCTCGCTTCGTTAACCTGTAAGAATGCGAGATTGTATTTAATGATGCGATTCTATTAATTTTATATAGGCATGGGGTGACGAGCACCACTAACATCTAACTGCGTACGCACGCACGCACACACACACACACACACACACACAGAAATTCATACAAAGTGAGTGGGTATGAAACATCATGATTTCCCATTTTTTAAGTCTTCTGTTGTCCAAAAACTGTCTTTATAATTATATTTTTATCTTTCTAGGTTGAACCAACTGTACTAACTCTCACGGAATGCTCCCTTGACAAAACTTATCTCACTATAACGCCAACTATACCCATTCTCAGAAGTCAGTTCGCAAGTGGCCTAGACATTGGTTTTTGGCTACCAGCTGGTATTAGACTGAGCAATGGCGGATGTAAAATTACATTAGAGGGCCTTAAATCTAAAAGAGTGCGTCTGATTACCGAATGCAAAAGCTTCCGTAGTCCCAATTCAGATAAACTGATCTATGCAGAAATACAAAATCCACACAGTGAATTTTGGAACTCAGCAATCCACCTACCCGCTATTTGGGTAAGTTAGTTGAGATTCTATTGAAACTTGTAACCAGAGAAAATTTATATTTCCCTACGAGATCAACCAATCCGGATCTCTGAGACACAGATCTTCGGATATTAAGTTTCAGGTTATTGTCAACAAAACAGGGTGCCTTCCGAAAAAATTGTCCCACGCGCGCTACTTTTAAAGAAACCATAAAAAATTACATATCGCTTTTGAAGCTCAGGCCTTAAAACATAAAACTTACGGTGTTTGCTTTATTGAATTACCATCCTCTACGTTACCGCGGACCTCTAAACAAACTGAACAGTATAATTCAGCAGATAATAGGCTAAAACATCGTGTCAGACTTTCGATATTCACTTTTGGTTCCTGAGAAAACCTATTTTGAAAGTTGGACGAAAAAATTATTTCGATTGTAGTCACGCTCTAGGACTTTAGGAGAGAAATACTTCGAATTTTGTAAAAGCCTTACACAATTTGGTGCGTTAATACCTGATGAAAGATCTGACCAATTTTCATGAAAGTCCAAAAAATCCACATACCCTACAAATTTGTTTAAGTAGAGGTAGGTCGCGTAAAAGCAAACCTTGAGTTTTTTGGCCTGCTAGGAGCTTCACAGGTTTCGCACCTCAATCAAACGCGTAACAGTTCAGTCATGCCCTAGACCAGTTAAGGGTAAAAGTGATGATAAGGGTAAAAGCAATGATTATTGTTCTTCCCAACGAGTTCGAATTTCGAAAAAAAACAATTCTTTATAAATTCAACTCATTTAATTTAACGAAATAACAAGCTACACTAGTGCGACAAAACAACATGGCGGGATTTTTTTACCTCGTGGTCAGACTAGTTCCCAGTCCTTCTAGACAATTATTACAGATCAAACTAATTTTAACAAATAACAAAAACCAGAAAAACGGAGAAATATATTAGCCGGTTCTCGTGGAACTCAAGGAAGAGGACCTGTCCAGTTGCGGACATAGTTCAAGAAAGCAATTATTTTGGCTGAGTGTTAGAAGACCGCTCTCACCCTAAAGAACAGCACAGGGATTCGGAGATTATTTGAAGAAAAGGACCATGGTCCATGGTTAACACCCTCTTTGCCATCATTAAAGCTTAGGACGCGTGAGTAGTCCAGTGGTCAGTGCGCTGGACTCTAGGTCAGATGGCCCGGGTTCAAGTCCTGGCTGGGGCTTGACGTTGTGTCCTTAAGCAAGACGCTTCACTCACATTGCTTCGTCTTCTCGGATAGGACGTAAAGCCGGAGGTCCCGTCTCCTGCACCTATCAATTAGTTAATTTCGGCAAGGGACGTTAAAGAACCCACATCACGAGATTACTGTGATGTGGTCTGGCCTGTTTACTGGGAAGGGGGGGAGGGGGCATCTGTAAAAATTTCTCCTTTATTAATTGTAAACTGCCGCCGGCAGTCTGGAAAAGTCCCCCGCACAGTGTTGTAAAGCGCATTAGAGCATTTACATGGAAATGCGCTATAGAAATTGATCTATATTATTATTATTATTATTATTATTAGGACGCCTGACGACCAGAACTTGTTGGAGAACCATCATCTTGTGTACGTATGCAATACACGAATTTGCCACGTTCTAAGATAGTATGACTGAAGCATCATCTAGCAAATCTTAAAATAATAGCATAGGAAGAGTTGAGGCCCCTAAAAGGAGGAAAAGGAAGACATATGAGTCTTTTCATGAAGCTTTTGGGCTAATTATGACTGCTTATTGAAAATGATCCACTCTAAGAATTGCTATCTTACACGAGTGATCTGGCTCAAAAGTCACGTGAAGATGATCTAAACATGCTTCAAATGATTCTAGCGGCCATGACTATGCAGCAATCCCATGCAAACCCACAAGTCAGAGTCACAACACCGGCCAACATAAGAGAGTAGGAAAGTAATGGCAACCGATATGACAATCACATGTCATCTTCTGTTAATCCTGAAAACTGCATGTACCAAATTTTTGGTGCCGAGCTTTTGGTGACAGATATCTTGTTGAGTTCAGTGTGACTTGAATATCATTGACGAGCCTGAAAGTGAATAAATGAAATGTGCTTTCAAATGGCTTTAGTTTGACCTTAGTCAGTTCTTGTGAAAACGTTAGTAACTCCATAAAGATTTGGTCACAATTGGAGCAATAAGTCCTTAGAACCTTACATCGTGTCATATACGTTTGATATTAGCTGTGAATCCGTCAAGATAGATATACTCTTCTTGATGTTTACTGAAATTTTCAGTGGTGTTACGAGTAGCAGCTTATTTCTTCATACATGTGTGGACCTTTTTTTTCCTGAGAAATACATTCCCTATGCATGAAAGGGTTTAGGGAATAGAATCATTTTTATACCAAATCACCAAATTAGCTGTAATGAGATGCATTTATGCAAATTAGTGAGCATGCGCTTTGTTCGAGTGTTAGCGAGTGTACCGGCGAGTGTTCCATGTGCTCGGATCAGTAGTTGAGTTACCGTGTAATTCAAGTCTTAACTATCGGAATACATTCATTCAGCAACCCACTCAGAGTCATTACATGGTACCAGGAGTGAAACTATCGCACTTTGCGGCGTCGATGTACCGAAAATGCAATGGATTAGTGACAATCTTCGAGAGAATTGGAGGCGTTTCCAACAACACGCTGAATTAATGTTTTCAGGTCCTCTAAAATCACGCTCAGAAGCAGAGAAATGTAGTTATCTTTTAATCTGGAGTGGTCAGAAAGGAAGAGATATCTTCAACACATGGCAAAACCTCACACAAGACGACAAAAAGAAGTTGCAAGCCTACTACGATCGATTTGAGCAACATGTGAATCCAAAGTCTAATCCTGTCTTCGCACGATACAAATTTCATCAGAAGATCCAATTGCCTGATGAATCCGTAGAGCAATTCACTACTAAGCTTCAAATCCTCGCCCAAGACTGCGAATTCTCCAACACGGATGAGATGATTCGCGACAGAATTGTCTTCGGCACTAAATCAATGAAAACTAGAGAAAAGCTGTTCGACGAAGGAGCAGGCCTTACTCTCGAAAGATCTATTCACATCGCATGATCCTATGAGGCATCACAAGCTCAGCTGAAGGCTACGAATCCCGCTGGAAAAGAGGAAAAAATCAATTTTATTTCGCATGCTAGTTAAAAGCCGAAATATACGACCAAAACATAGCACTTCTGCACAGGCAGCCCAGCAGCGAAACCCGAAATCTGCAGAGGCAGCCCACCGGCACTGCGAACAAAATCCAGCTAATATTTGTGATAATTGCGGCCGCTCTCACAGCAAATCTGAAAACTGTCCAGCCAGAGGTCAAACCTGCAATTAAAGCAAAAAGAAAGGCCATTTTGTTCAAGTCTGCAAGAAAAGAATGAGATCAAAACAAAGAATTCATGAAAGTCAAGACACCGCTACATCATTCGAAGAAAATTTCGAGACCTTGGCATTTGAACCTATCTGCGTTGGAATAATGAATCAAGAAATCAAAGCACTAAAGATGAAGTATTTGCTACTGTCAACGTCGACATCGCTGGAAGAGAAAAAGAGGAAACTTCTCTGAAAGCAAAGATCGACACGGGACCCCAAGGAAACGTGTTACCCCTCCGCATCTATCGTAACATGTACCCCCAAAATATCAGCGGCCACGGCAAACCAAAGTCAGGAACACTGAACCCGTCAAAAGTCATTCTAGTAGCATGTGGTGGCTCAGAAATCAAGCACCTCGGTAAAGCCAAAATCCCATGTTAGTTAAAAGGCATCAAGATAACAGCAACCTTCTATGTCACAGACACCAACGGTCCCGCAATCATCGGTCCTGACACCGCAACTCAACTCAACCTTGTGAAATTTAATCTCGAAGTGAAACAATCTCCACAACCTGAACCTTGTACTCAATCAGTCAAATCTGCACCAATCAGAGGCAAACGAGATCTCATCGCACGGCACCAAGAATGCCTCAATGGAATAGGAAAGTTCAAGGGTGAGTATCAAATCACCTTGGATCCTGCAGTAACTCCAGTTGTCCATCACCCACACAAAGTACCAATTAGCATGAAAGGTGAAATCAAAGATGAATTGGATAATGTGGTAAAGAATGACATCATAGCAACGATATAGGAAGACGAACCTGCAGCTTGGGTCAATATTCACGTCTACCGACGAAAATCAAGTGGAAATCTTCGCCTCTGTCTCGACTAAAGAGAGCTAAACGCAGCGATTAAGCGTGAGCACCACGTCACCCCTACTCTGGAGGAAATTCTTCCTAAGCTAAATAGAGCTAAAGTATTCTCAATAGTCGACGCGAAATGTGGCTATTGGAACATTGTCTTAGATGAAGAATCAAGTTACCTTACAACTTTGAACTCGCCCTATGGGAGTTACCGCTTCAAGAGAATGCCATTTGGACTGAAAATGTCGCAAGACATTTTTCAAACCCGCATCGACCAAACCTTTGAAAGATGTGATGGTGTAATTGGCATTGCAAATGATATTGTAATCTATGGAGATTCAGAAGCATCACATGACGCAAATATGAATGGTATGATCAGTCGATGCAAAGAAACTGGTCTGAAATTGAACACCGAGAAATGTTTCATCAAACAAGACCAGTTCAAATTCTATGGTATAATCTGTACCAAGGATGGCATCCAACTAGATCCTATTAAAGTGTCAGCACTCAAACAGATGGCATCATCAGCGAATAAGAAGGGCCCCAATTACAGAGCACATTCAAGTCCGGTAATAGTGAACTTAATGCAACAACAAAATATTTCTTATAAATGTTTAAAAAGAAAAGAAAGGAGGAAGAAAGAATCCAGTGAAGGAAACATTTTTTTCTAAAAAAAAATAATTAACTGATAGGCAATTATTAGATGAGATTGAGCATGATATCGTGAATTATCAAAACCCCGTATCTGTGTTACCTGGTCAAAGATACGGGGCTTTGATAATTCACGACATAATGCCAAATCGAATTTAATAATTATTTAATTATACATTTTACAACAAAAAATTTGAAAAAAAAGGACGCTTATCTAATGAGCACACGCATCGAGCGCCTTTTGTCATCTGTTGTGAATGAGAAGTCCTTTATTTCGCCGTTTTAAATCAACATACTTTGCTGGAAATGCTTTGTTTACTTTAGCGAATTGTGGGTCTTTGGTATTGTCAGTTCTTTTTGCCATGAAGTACCTGTTAAATCCAAATCGTAAAGAAGTCAAAGTAACTTTTCGAGTACGGGCTGCCATCACTTTTTCTTAGCGCTGCTGTTAACTTCTTCAAAACGCCAGCCAAAGCGGTTTCATCTAATATTCCTTTAGGTTCTTCTCCCTTAAATGATCATTCGGAATTTTTACACTTGTTTTGTTGTCCTCTTGGTGTGTTTGGAATCTTTGTTCTCAAACTAAACTTTACCCGGAAACGGAGGCGAAGTGTTAACGTTTAGCCACTTTTGCAAAAGTTTGACAACACTCGCCGAACGAGGGGCTTGACAAGTATGCAGACTTTGAACTCGACATGATAACCCAATATCTGCAGCAGATATTGGGTTATCATGTCAACTTTACATGCCACTGGAATTTGACTGAATGCTCTCGACCAATATAGTAGGTCTAATGTATAATAAAGTAGATAAATTCATTGTTGGTGAGTGCGTACGATTTTATTCAAGAGTCGTTCAAGCAAACTAACCATGAAGTAATTTGTTATATGTATTATATTAGTACTGATCGGCGGCATGAGGTTTTACACATGTTTGTAACTTTCAATCACAGTCAATTGACCACAAAAGACGAAGAAATCGCAAAGTCGATATCGCCTTTATTTAAACCCAATCAATGCTGTCAAAAATACTGCATTCGAATGTACTTAAAAAGGCGAAGGAACTGTACTTTTAAAATAATTCATTTCAAAAAGAGAGACATTGCTTGCTGGCCATGTTGATAATCCGCGGCCGAGCTAGTTGAATGGACTGTGGTCGAAGAACATTTAGAACCTTAAGATAAATTTGATTTCTCAACATCATGCGCTCTACCTATGCTTAGTTCACTCAAAGTCTAAGACATTTTTACTTGCCTTTTGTCAGGAACAACTAAATAAGCAGGAAACGTTGCAAAAATTCACTTTCAATTACTTCGCCCCGAATGGCGGGAAAAACTGATACGATTTTTCTCACCTGTGAAAAAAATCGTAGCAGGCTCCTCATTGGTCATACGCTATTTTTCACTGACGAAAAAATCGTATGACCAATGGAATTGCTTCTCATCAAAGAGAGACGATTTTTATTCGGTGAGTTTACATTGAGTAAATCTAAGTACTTCTATAATAATCACTTTTATTATCCAACTACACTCCGTAGAGTACAAATAACGCCATAGACGAGTACAAATATGACGCATGTTTTGTCGCATCGCGCAAGCGAACAGTTGGATTGACTCAAGCCAATTCTCCTAACTGAGTTACGAAAAAAAATGGCGGACAATTTGAACCATATTTCTGACAACTAAGAGTCAGAATGGCTGGCAAATATAGATACAAGTCTATTGGTTAAATTGAACGAAGAAAAACAGTTAAAAAACGAGGAAATTTCTTCATTTATTGAAACAGCAACACGACAACGCTCCAATTCCGTTCCCCTTCGAATGCTTCTGTCACGCACTCCTCGTAAATAAATATCCGCGAAATTTGCCCGCGTTGAAATAACAATTTGGCATGTTGGATGATAAATAACCTTATTAGACGTTTTGTTGTGTAGTATCGCTGGGTATTTTTTATTCGTTATTTGCTTAAGATATATTTATTCACCGCATTGATCAAAGGCATAATTTATTTACAGCTACCCTTGGTAATTGTTAGTCATAAAAGTATACGTAATGATTGTCACTGACAAGTTTTGGATGTAAAATCCAAAACTAGTCAATAGCTATAGCGGCGCTTGTCCACCGCTAGCTGGACCGCACAAAATCCAGTGATAAAAACAACGTACCCGCACCAAACTTCTTTTGGAACGCCTCCTTCTTTATTATTGTATTATACCGTGAAACTATAAATTGATTTATGAAATAAGGGACACGCAAATAGATTAAGAAATGCTTGAGGTAAATCAAACTTACATTATTGCCGGATCTGGCAAGAGTTGATATCGATTGAACCTTTCTTTCCTTTCCTTTACTAATTTCTTTCCTTACGAGCACGAGTGCTTACCAAAACTGATCAAAGGTCCCTTTATCAAATATATTGAATTACACTTAAGAGCGCGTAAGGAGCCTCCTAGTGTGACTTTAAAGATTATTAACCAAATCAAACAATGAACCGAAACTCGTGCTATAGGGGCACTTACAGTAGCACAGAGTCTCATTTGTAAAACTTCAATTTCTTTCTTTTTCTTTTATTTCTTTCCATATCCATGAATCGATCGCACTGCTGCCAAAATCTGTTATATCCTTTTTTTTTTTTAATTATTGATCGTTACATGGGATTTTATCAGGATTTTCTGAGCAGGAAAAATTCATAAAAGGCAACTGTCCATAAATTTAAACTCACTGAACGTATATATCTTTTAGAAAATCTAATCTTGGAAAGGTTTTATTCTTGTCTTTTCCTTAGGTTTCTGTGATAGACGAATCGGACAACATTGGTTCTTGTAGTACGACTGGGGATCCACATTACGGTTCACTTTTGTGAGTATCGAATTACTTGTGATGTGTTGATATGAAGTAATAATTGTGAAATTTGTTTTGTAGTGATAACAGTTTGTAAATAATGAAGAGCAGTAAGACCAAGCAGCGTTAAATGTAGACTGTGATAATGTTGAGAGAGTGCTGAGACCAGGCAGGGGGTGATAATGTTGAAATCGCCTGTTTGTATCAAACTTTACCAAAGTGCAAAATATCAGAGATTAACAATTTCGCGAAAATAAAATAAAAATATTTCGTTTTCTGAGAGATATGATATACCTCTGTGAAAATCTTCATTTTCCTTTTATTTGAAAAATAAATTAGCTCCGCCAGTGCAAAGGATAAAAAAGGCCATTTGGAGATTTGATCCACTTTCCCACGTTCCATAATTATTAGAAATAAGGCAGAATAATTTGATTCATCTCGCCCATTTCCTTTTTCCTTTTTTCTTTTTTTTTTTTTTTCTTGTAACAATTTATGCCAGATGTTTCAAATTGTTTGAGAGTGTCCAATATGCGTCATTGACCGAGCGTGATGGCTGGCTATTGGCCGAGCTTTTGTTTCTTTGTTTGTTTGTTTTTGCATTTTTATGGACGGAGAAGAAGTCGAGGCCCATAAAAATGCGACCAAAGAGAACGACGCTAATATCCAGCTATCTTGACCGAACAAGCTTCGTCAATAAAGGATTTATTATATTTAAAAAAGATTTCGCTTTAGTAATAATTAAGAATGACTTGTTTTCTTCCAGAACCGGGAAAGAAAGCCAACTGTGTTTGAAGTACAATAAACTCACGAGAGTCGTTTCTGTTTTCTTCGGATTCTGCTGCCTTTTGCGTCCCCATTGTCAACGTAGTCTTAGAATTACAAACCTACTGCTACTTTAATCTAATTTTTTTTTTCATGCGCGGGATCAATGCCGGCAATCCCGAACGGGCAAGATGGGCCCATCTTGCCCTCTCGGTAGCCGATAGGCTTAGCCACAAGTTGCTCGGCAACTTTTCGGCAACTTTAGAGATTTTCGGCAACTTTTTAGAATTTTGGCAACTTTTGAGATCTTCGGCAACCTTTTAGAATTTTGGCAACTTTTAGAATTTTCGGCAACTTTGGGCTTTTTGAGGCTCTTTGAAGCCACTTTCTTCACGTTTTGAGCCATATTTGTCAGTTCTCGATAGACATTTATTCAATTTATTCTAAAATACAATAATTAGCCCCCCCCTACCCCATGGGTTGATTTTTGTGATGCCTTATCACAAGGTCAGCGGTATCGCGTTGAACGTTTTTCAAGATGGCGGACAATTACAGTGACTATTTGTTGATCAAGTGAAATGGAAAGAACCTCTGATATTATCATTGGACTTTGACAAATAAAGTTTTGATAAGAAGCAATGTGCGAATTTTTAATCTTTAAAAACACCCAAAAAAGGTACGAAAAGCAGAAAAATCTTGGCAACTTTTCGGCAACTTTCTGGAAATTCAGCAACTTTTTGGCACCTTTTTGAAAAAAATAGCAACTTTTTGGCAACTTTTAGACACTATTGGCAACTTTTTTGGGATTCATCGGCAACTTGTGGCGAGGCCTAGTAGCCAATCAGAACACAGGATTCGCTTCACATTGCCCACGGGCACTGCCAACGATGTAATAGAATTAATTGATGAGCCTTCATATCAAAACTTTAATACTTTTAATCTTAAAGTAGTGTGCAACCCCGGCCTAGTTTGTTTCATTAGGAAACCGGGATGAACGATACATTAATACTTCATATACTCATTTTATTAAAAAAGATAATTCCTCTGTCCCTTAGATCAATTACTTTCCCTGAATTAAAAGTCGAGTTTGGCCTCAGAGAATAGATTAACGCAGTGTTTCCTCGTTTGCAAGGCCGAAAGTAAAAAAGTGAAAAAAATGATAAAATGAATTAAGGAAAAAGACAAAACAAAAAAACAAAAGCCTTTAGAAACGCAAGGGTTTCGTTTATCAGTTAGATCTAGGTGCAAAATGTCTTTGTAACAATTATAGTTTTTTAAGTGTGTTAGCGGCACAGTTTCCTTTGTGTTGTCCTAGTGGTTAATAATATTATTTTTCACCATTTCTTTGGCGCTCGCCTGAAATTTCACGTCAAAAAAATCCCTAATTTAGCTTTTTAGTTCCCTTTATATCCTTTTTGCCTTTGTCAGTACTTTCCATTTACATTTCATGCGGGCAGCGTTCTATTGATATTCGTTATTGTCAGCGCAACACAGGTGTTCCCGTTTTACACAGTTCATCCTTAAGAGAGTTGTTGTTGTTATTGTTTGTGTGTGTGTGTGTGTGTGTGTGTGTGTGTGTGTGTGTCTATGACAATGTAAGTGTTCCATTGTCCTCCATTGTTGGTATGTGTGTGCTATGATAAGTTATTTTGTTATTCTTATGTTGTAGTTTCAATCTATATCTCAATCCTTCGTCTTTTATACCACTTCCTACTTTGTTTACATATATCTTTCGAATTTGCAGTTACCATCTGTAGTGAAATTATAAGCTTTAAATCTTTTTTAATTGACATGGTGGGGAAGAGGGCAGGGAATTAGCGCAAATAGAGTGGGTGGTTTAATTTAATTTCATGGTACTTTAATTCAATGTATTTAAACAAACCTTTTTCTTTGTATTTACGCTTTACCTCCTTTTCGCAATGGTTAAATTTCTTCTCTCTTTCAAGAAGTCTAAGGTTGAAATCACAGCGGTATAACTATATTTTCTGTCTTAGTTTTTCTTTTCTTTTGCCCTTTATGTGCACATACCTGCCTGGGTTTTGCTCGGATCGTCAGCATTCACAGTGCACTAACCGGCATTTAAGAAGCCAACTGTAGCCGAAGCGCAGCATTTATTGTTCCTTTTTTCAACTTATAATAATAAAGAAGCTATGAGGAGAGACGATTTGATTCCAAAAGCCAGCCTTCTTATCCAGATCGGAAAACCCCACGCACGAAGGAGACAGACTGTGTAATAAGCTGCTCAATTTTTCGGGCAGCAATCTCGGGCAACGATCCTGAAAATAATGTACGTGAAACAAAATTGTTCCGGAAAACCACTTCAGAGATTTTGATTGGTCTTGATGTTATTCCATAGTTTTATTTATTTAGCTTCGCCTAATAGCGCTGCGCGTCAGTAACGTCACGAAAATTACACCCCCCGCGAGACTCACACAGACAAACAGCTTGTTTAGTTGTGGAATGGCGGCAGATACGAATGTTTCTTTAGTTTCTGTTACATCTAGCCTTCAAAATGTTGCTATTCTGACAGAGAACGACGGTGTACCTGGATCAAAGTTCAAAATCGACCCGGAGAATGATACCGTGGAGCAGCTAAAGCGATGGTTAAAGTGTAGAGGTATTAAACAAGGTGGAAAGAGATGTGATCTTGTTAAAGTTTACATGAGACGTTTGATAGCTTCTTTGCATTGCCACTCCAGTAAGTTAACTCATCCAAAGGAAAAATTTCATTAAAAAACTCAAGTAGCCGAACGTCGAACTGAAGACTTGTAAGACCAGAAAAGTGCTTTATTAGTTATGAATCTTTTCCAATAACTTCATATGAAAGGTTGCTGACAATTTTAGAGTCGGTATTCTTCATAGACATTTTAAGCTCGTTCTTTAGAATCATGGAATGATTTGAATATATCAACAAAGTTGAAATGGTAAATTGGCCACCGTAACGATTATAAAAGCTGACGTTTCGAGCGTTAGCCCTTCATCGGAGCGAATGGAGGAATTGTGGGTTGTGTGTGCTTTTAAAGGCAGAAAATGGAGCTAAGTTATTGGTGGGAACATGGCAACGAGAAAAACAAAAATAAATTAGTGGAATGAAAAGCGTTCGTTGATCCCTGTGGGATTTAGACTGCCGGTTTGAAAGATGAGCTATAGGCAATTTTTTGGTCAGAAGTTCTTTTCAGACTAATGACCAACCAGGCACTTTTAAATGCGCTCGTGCATGATGCAAAACGTGTCCTTTCATTCCCAACACTGATAAAATATCGAGACCTAAACGATCCATTAAGATCACCGATCACTTCACGTGCACCTCCACCAATGTAATCTATTGCATAACTTCCACTTATTGTAAAAAGATATACATCGGCGAAACAGGCAGAAGACTTGGTGACCGATACCGAGAACACCTTCGAGACGTGGAAAGGAATGACAAAGACACATCGAAACGAGTCGCTAGGCATTTTAATTTACCTAATCATTCTAAGCAACATACGGCAATCTGCCGTCTTTCCTTACACTTAGGTAGCACGAAAAGCCGTAAAAATCTTGAACAAAGGCTCATCTTTCAAACCGGCAGTCTAAATCCCACAGGGATCAACGAACGCTTTTCATTCCACTAATTTATTTTTGTTTTTCTCGTTGCCATGTTCCCACCAATAACGTGAAGTTCATGTTTAGCTTTCTTTACATCGGTCAGCTCGATCTCTCTGTTTTGGCGGTTCTCTCTTTCGGCATAATTTCTCTTCAATGTCCTTCACCGATAAATTTGCCTTTAGAGGATTCCTTTGTCGGCCTCGTTTCCCCTAACCAGTGTAGGGAACAAATATAAGTGTTTCTAATAATGTTTTTCCCGGTGAAATGTTCACGAGAGCAGGCCTTAATCCATCGTTGACAACGTTCAATGACTTGTGATGATTTTAAGAATGCTATGAATATTTTTTCTAGTTTTTGCCACTTCTTTTAGTGACTTTGGTAGCTTTTCGGAAAATCTCGAATCGCTTGAACATTTCCCTCAGCAGCAATGCTTTGTGCTGACCATTTTTAACTAGAATTATTTATATTACTTGTCTCATCTGATCCCCTTCGCAATCCGCCATCTTAGATGTTTGTCTTAGTCTTGCGGGGGGGGAGGGAGGGTCTTTAATTTACATATCTACTTTTAAAACTCACGCGCAGCGCTATTAAAACACATTACTGATAAACATAGAAATCTTAGGCAAGGAAACCACTACAGCCTAGCCAATTACAGTGGACCCCTTGTTAATGATAAAAACAATAACTGAAGCTACTCAGTATAAAGAAAAATTGAAAATAAATATAAAGGGAGCATAACAAGAGTTCAAAGAGCTAGAAATAGGACGACGGTGGGTAAAGGAGAGTTCTCGCTAAATTGCAACTGAGACAGATTGTTCTTCAGGTTCTGATGTCGTTACCGTGGTACAGATCTAAGGCCTTATTGAAATATTGAAGTAGTGAACACTTAAATGAGGTAAGGGAGATGGGACTTTTGCGTAAATCACTGGCCAGAACGTTCCATGTGCGGTATGCGTGTATGAAAAAAGAGCGTTGATAAGTAACAGTCCTACCTCGCTCAGGGATATAAGTAATAGCTTGGCTGCTCGATGACCTGGTAGATCTCGTTGATTGTCTAAACACTAAGTTGTTTACAGCTTTATACCGCAACGGTAGGGATGCTTCAAAGAAAGTTTTGTTACGCGTCGCTGTAGCGACCATACCTGGGTTACGCAGCCGAGGCTCGGCGCTCAAAGTCGAGGAGTTTGTTGGCTGTCGCGCACTGTTCAGTCACTTGTATGTCCGAAGATTGCTTGACACTCACACACTAAAGCCTTTCTCTATTTCGCAAGATTCCAACGGCGTTTTGTTGATGATGTAGGTCCACTGTACCGGTGTTCTTTTACAGGTTATCCGCTGGTATTTACACTCGGACTGATTTAATATGAGCCCAGGAGATTCGGACCAGCTGACAAGGTTGTTAAAGTCGAATTGCGAGGCATTGCAGTCTGTGATGGAAACGATGCTCATAAAAATCTTTGTATCATCGGCATAACAGCCAACTCTTGGTGTCTTAACAGTTTTTGGTAGATCGTCCGCAAACAGCAGAAATGTGTAGAAGTCACTAAAAAAGAACGAAATAAAAAAAGAGGGCGGTCGCTTGGGTATGTCTTCCTCTACAATGGCCTTCATACTCCCTTCAACATTCATCAATTAGGTGTCACGGACTCTGTTATCTAAAATAAGGTGACACACTTTATCACTTCATCTATTAATGCACTTTTCATCTTTCCTACAGCCGGTCTTCTATCACCTTTATGGGACACGGAGATTTTATCCTCTATCGCAATGCAGAACGTAATTTTGAGGTAAAAGGCGAATTAGAGAATGAATAAGTATTATAAGAATGAATAAATATCATAAGTTCAAGAGCAAAGAATTATAAGTATAATTGCTACGGTTATTATAGAGATAGGCGCACTCTAATTGGTCGAGGATTGTGTTATATATAGATATAATCACCTCGCAAGGGACGATTTTAGCGGGAGTGACAAATTTAGAAATGGCTGCCTTGGAACTGATGAACGCGATAAAAAAAAACCAATTTTCTGATGAAGCTAATTTCAGCCTCATATGCAATACACCTTTACAGCACAAAAGTATCATCTGCACGGAGGATAAAGCAACTGCTTGCGATTGCCGCTTAGAAAGAAAATTTAGAAGAATGTTGTGTTCACCAATTGAGTTCAGAAAGGATAATCAGGCTCAGTGAGCTCCAAAACCCACTCCATACCAGGTCCAGTTAATGGAAACTGAATAGGTCGCCCGCGCCGGTTGATCATTTGTTTTTGCCACACTTCGCTGGCAAAACTCAACCGGATCGACCCAGCCATCCTCGGTTGTATTCTCAGCTTTTAATTTGTTGTCAATTCGTGCCCTTAATGAACAGGTGAGGTTTGCTAAGCACGCTCTAATGATGCATATTTATTAAAAAGACGTTTGGGTTTGTCCTACTCCGAAAATACATTAGATAAATTTCATTGTGCGACATATGATTTGTCTTCCTCGTTGGATTCTCATGCATCCTATGCCATACAACCTCGTCTATTTTTTTTGAAAGGGAGCTGAGGTCAAGGCAAAGAACATGCTAAGACAATTTTTACACTATTATGACTGCAACATTTCTTACAAACACAATTTTATTTTAAATGGTGAACATAGGTACATACAAGGCAATGGGTCTGTTCAGAATCTGCGACCACCTGTAACTGTGGGGCTGTTCTTCGAGATCACAATGATGTTATTGAGTTCAACTGCAGCAATGAAAACCGTTATTTTGATAGAACAACCCCAATACGAGTTAAAGTACGCAGCAAAAAACGACTGGCACCTGGACTATCAATCTCACAAACCATACCAGGAATCAATAGCAGATATGTGGTTAGTTTAAATTCCATCACTCATTATCTGACTGCATTATTTTCTCCTGCAGTACTCTGAAAGAGTAATGCAAACAGTGTTATTGAATGGTATGCTTCGTTGGTGCAATTTATATATCTTGCCATGATTTGATGAGATATCGGAGCTTTATCTGACGATTCGTTGCTCAGCGAAATATGATTACAGCGGCTAATCGTAGATCATTCTAGAGCTTTCTACGTGAAGAGTTAAACACCAGTTAGGTTGGTGGGTGCATGGAATGCAGAATTTGGTGTCCTCAGTTGTTATTGTAATTATTCGCAGGAGTATTTTTTTTCTTTACAGGTCTTGGATACTTCCCTTCTTCTACTTTGTAACATTTGCCATCAGTGAGTCACGAAATCTTTTATTAATTTCAAAAACGCATCGTGAGGCGTGATCGAACAAAAAGTATGAGAAGGCTCAAGTCATCACTTGTGTTTAGTGGATCTCATCTTTTCAAGCTTTTCTGTTATAATTTCCTTTATTGCAGATTTTGTTCCCTTCAGGAGGAAAAGTAACTATCGACCGATATTCGTGGGGGCTCGATGTCCACATTACGGTCCCCCGGGCAAAAAGTATTTCCAATGAAACCGGTCTATGTTTGTATAATAACGAGCCAAACGTAACAAGTTTTGCAAAGGGGTTCAGGTAAGCAACCAAGTGAACTCATTACTCATGGATTTAAAAGAAAAAAATGATGAGCCTATCAGTACTACGTACAATTGCAGAGCACCTTAAAATCAAGACACCAACCTGGGGTCAACCGCTCTTCACACCACCAACTCTAACCGGATTCCTCCATAATTTACTGGAAATAACCATAAAATAGAAACAAAGCGAAAAAAGACTATTTCCACGCGCTCGGCTTTAAATTTCCATTATGGTGGAACGAAGTCACGATTTTCTCCAGATCGCACTTACAAATAAACACATTTAAGCCAATCTTGATAAAAATGCAAAAAAAAATCGGCGACAGCTGATCATTACAAACCCACGTGCAGGCGTTAAATGGACGACAAGGCCTGGAACTACCGAGGTGGGACCATGAGCACTTTTTCTTGTTCGATATGTCATCACAAAACATATTTCTCTCCTTTCTTTTTCTTTTTTTCATGAAAACGGATAACAAAGGTTATATTGTTAACATGCATATTGTACTGAGTTATGGGTCGCAAAGGGAATCGTGTTCTGTTCCGGCATTTAAATTTAATTTCATAGCGAGCGTTTGCAAATATTTTGTTATTATTGTTATTTATTTTTTATTAGGTTTCTATTTTACGATCTCTCCATTAAATTGTGGAAAGAGTCAATGAAAGGGTGGCGTACTTTAATTTTACGAGGGTCAAGGTTTGTCGTCCCCACACATAATGTACTTCTGCACTATTGTACAAAACAACATTTCGTTAGCTTAATTTCCTTAATTTTGAGTTCGTGACGTTCCATTACGGAGTGTGATGTTTAAGTTGTATTTGCTAAAATTGAGCATTTTTCTCACTTGCTTTTGATTTTAACAAGGCTTCAACGGCTTTAAGTAACGTGCCCTTACGGCTCTGGATTTAAGAACTTCCATGCCTTCTGTCGACTTTGACAGGGCCTCCACGGCTTGTGAATCATGAGCCTTGCTGCTAGTGATTTACAAGCTTTTCATAGATTACTTATCCTCATTCAGAATTAAAACCTCACTCAGCTTCGTATCTACTACACCGATCCACTTTGGTGCATTTAGGACAATAACGAATAGACTCTTTTCATTAATGTAACAGTTTGGAACCCTCGGAGAGCTACTTTAACAGACTGCCGGATCCAGTTAATGACAGTGCTGTGGAATACGAGATTCCTTGCTCTTGTAACAGAAAAGACGAGAATGGTACTGCAGAGTGTATTAAAGAACTCCCAGTGTACTTTCCCAATGTCATGGATGGAACTGGGAATGTAATACTTCTCACAGGAAACTCCAACAAGAAAAAGAGGGACACACATATCTCGGACGATCTCACGGACAAAGACTACGCGCTATTTAAGGGCTTGATAGGCTCAAACAAGTCACATAGACGTAGACGTGCTTTGTATAGCAAGCGTAAATTTACAATGGAAAATGCAACAGATTACTGCATGGAAAAGGTGTCAAAAACAGACATTGGTAACTTATGCGCAATACTGGGAGTAAATGTTTCGGAAATCATTACTTCTTGTTCCATCGACTTGAAGGTAAAACTTTTCTTTTCCCTCGGTTCCTCCCTCCCATCCTTCCTTCTTCCTGTTCTTCTTCTTTCCTTCCTTCCTTTCATTCTTTTTGTTTTTTCTTTTCTTCTTTCTTTGAGTATTGTTTCTTTTTTACCTGTCTTCCTCTCTTTTTTTCCCTCTTTCTGTATTTTTTTACATATTTCTTTCTTTTTCTTTTCTTTCTTTTTTAATTTATGTCTTTCTCTCTTTTTTCTTCCCTTCTTGATTCTTCTTTTTTACTCTCTTTCTTTCTGACTTTCATTGTCCCTGTCTTTGTTCTTGCAAGTCTTTGTTTCTTAGTTTTTTTCTTTCTTCTTTTCTCGTACTTCAGGAGCAAGCCATTAGGATACGTAGACCTTCGCGCCAAATTTTGCCAATTTTTTTTTTTTACTTCAAACAAAGCATCACTATTTTAACTACAGTTTCCGGAAAGAAAATTAAGATATTGAAATGCAGTTGTGTTATTTACAAAAGCGTTTTTCGAACTGAATTCTTTGAGCCGCAGTAGTGTGAAAAGCCAATTACATTGTGACACATGGCCCATGACATATTTAATGAGATTAAATGAGATTAAATACAGGATTATCACACCCGAGAGACGAGCCCAGCAGGCGTAATACTTGCAGTGCAAAGCACTTGTGTCTTCTCATGCAGAAATGTCTCCCGTGATGTTTTTTTGCGGCAGAACATCCGGGAAGTATTAGTCACATAAACATCTTCCTATGTCAGTTCAGGTGTTTATCGTATCAGTTCATGAAATAATGAGTAGAATAGAGTTAACAAAAAGAAAATTAAGGAACCCTTGGGTTAAAGCTGGAAAGAAGCCTGGCCGTAAGAGCCAGACATTGAAGGATTCCTACGAAGAATGGAGAAAAAAATCTAGAGGGCTCATAGTATGATCAATTTTTTAAACTGATCGCATCTCGGACTCTGCTGCTTCGTTAGGGTCAATTAGAGTTAAACTTGACGGCGCTGCCAAAACTTTGCTTTGCCATGAATTTCTTCTTTTCGCCGGCATTCCGAAGATCTGTCACGCACTACTGCAGAATACGGTTTCCCGCGAAACATGTTTTGTCGAGAGTCTCCTGGGACTCCACTCCTGTTGTCAGCATTTCGAGCGGTTTTTCATAGTGTTGACATAACTTGAAATGTGGTTATCTAAAGGTATGAAATGTTTGAAAAACTTTGGAAGCGAAAAAAACCCACTTTGTTTTTTACGCAAGTGTGTCTTCTGGGGCGAATTAGTATTGTATGAAACCTTTACGGATTGACTTGAAATTTGGTCCAAAGGCTCCCAAAATACCAATCTAAAAGACCATGTGGGGCTTTTCCGTTTTTCGAAATTGATCTCTCACAATGGTCTCCGACGTGACGCATATCAGTACCATTTTGATAACCAAACCTTACAGAGGCATTGCAAAGCAACCAACAGGAATAGCGAAAATCCTCATGCTGTTTTTAAGACCAACCAGAAGTTTTAATTGTGCGGGTAGATTTGATACCCGATTAATTTTGCGCAAAGACACATCGTCCGTTTCGACTTAGTAGCTTTACAATTTGATCAAGCTAAAACGAAATATTTTTTTTCTGGAAAGTGCATTTCATAACCTTTTCACTGATATATAGTTTATGATTGTTACGCTTTAAATAGCGCGGTAACATTTTCTTCGTGAAGGACACCCACAAATGTCTACCGTATCCTTAGGAAGTAAGTAGAGTTAGGCGTGGATATGAAGGATGATTGTTTAGTTTGGTATCCACTGGCCTGTTGTATAATAAACCTAAGGACTGTTTGCTAAAAATATCCCTAAATAAGAACTTTTACCATAACAAGGCCGATGAAGACTAGCTGACCTAGGGTTTCTAATCAGGCTGTGGAATATAAGGGGACGATTTTGGCCGTGATGGTGTTAATAGTAATCTATTGATTATGGACTATTCAATATTAATGACACAAGAAATAATATTCCGATTAGGAATCTTCAGTATGGAGAACATTTCCACACCAACTCTGTGTGTCTATTTCGTTTTCAGGCGAGTGGTGACCCAGCCTTTGCGATTTCTGCAATATCAGTACTTCTGAATAATTGCGGTGAAATTGTTGCCAGAAACCTTTCATTGTATTCTAAGGAGAGTAATGTCAACACACAAGGCAATTCCAGTTCGTCCATCTTGACTAACATTGCTCAAAAAATGTGTCCAAATGATTGCTCGTTGAATGGCAAATGTGTTAATGCCTCCTGCATCTGTAACGAGGGATTTACCGCAAAGGATTGCGCAATGTCACTTGGAAACGCACCTTTCATATCTATGTAAGTGTCACTTTCATTTCTAGCACTTCTTTAGTAAGGCTTCAAACCTGTGAAATGAATGCAATAATATATAGATTTAGCCAAGTCTAAAAGTGGAGCTCCAGTTAGTCTATTTCCATCCTTAACTCCTCAGCACTGGCTGTCTCCTGAAGAGTTTATTCAAGGGTATCAAATGGAAGGGGGAAGATCAACACGCATGCCACTCAGCGGTATTTTGGCATTTTTTAAGCAGCTGAAGACCTTATAATTAGTTGATGTTCGTGATGTTTTTCAACGGATTCTCGACGACAGGAAATGTTTTTCTCTTCTGATGTAGTGTTTGGGGTTACTATCAGCTGAAATGATACTCTATTGAGCGTGAATGTTACCTTAGGTTTCGGAAAATGAGCCAAAATTGAGCTAGATTTCACTTTTATATTGCATTGATTAGTCTCAAACATCAATCAAGTTTTTCTTTAAGTTTTAAAGCTGACTTGATGTTGTTAGTGCCCACATAGAAGAGATTGAAAAGTGTTAGATAATATTAGCAAATACATGAATCTCTTGGAAAGTGGATCTGTGGCAACGTGTTAACAAAAAATTTTAATGATCTGAAAAAAAAGTTTTCATTTGACCATCTAAGTAAGACTTTCACTAGTTCACTGTGACAAAATTCAAACAACAAAGTTTTTGATAATGCTGAAGTATTTGCTAAAATGGTGTATTTAGGTATTTGTTAAAACTCAGGTTATACAAGCACATTGAATGCACGGGTTTATCTTCCATTTTTCCACTAATGCTGTAACAAGCTGGCAAATATTAATCTTTGTAACATATTTCAACCCAACCATTCTCCAAACTTTTAAACACCATTATGGAATAATTATGCTAAAAATGGAAAGTTTGTGACATGCACGCTGTAATGTTTTCACCGTATCAGTAAGTGTTAAGGTAAGATCCCAGATGGAAGAGGACGAGGTAAGGTTACGTTAGTAAGTTTCTAATTTTAATAAAACACGAACTTTACATTGGCGACGAGGATTCGCGAGCCACACCACCGGTTGAAGCTCAACGATAATCAAACCGCAATAGCGTGAATCATGGCTATAGCTCCAAGTCTGACGTTCCTAAAACAAGCACACTAGCTACATGATGATTGCTTGCGTGGCTTCAAATCCTCTAGCCCACGTGAAGTCATCTTGTAATGCGTAACCGTGTGCCCTCAGTATGCTGCACGAGAGTTCGGCACTCGAGTATGTGCTCTCCATCATCTTCCACCAGTGTTTCCCGGCGCACACGAATGGAATCTCCAAATTACGCTCACAATCGCTCCTGCGCATTCCCTTCTCCCTTTCTCTTCTAATAAAGTAATGGCAAAACCTGTGCCCGCAATCGAGTTGGCCGTGCCTACCAAAAGTAGCACCTTATATGTAAGGACGCACAGTAGAACACCAGATCAGATATTTTCGGCTTGATGGGTTACCACTATTTCTTTTAAGTATGGGGCTACGCTACACACGTCTCGTGCGCTACGAGCTCCTCTACTGAGTATTAAAATCACTATTTCCTTCCTCTTAAAATGTGTGGACGAGGTCTCCCAAATTTGGGACAGATTGGAGCAACATTCTTTCAGCTAGTTTCAGTTCAATGCGGTTCACTTGCAGTTTAAATTCTCTTTATGCTTCTTGACACTGGCATCCATAAACTCATTGACTGACCAATGTTTTTTATCGATAAAAACGAAAATCTCTCTTCATAGATATCAAAAAAGTTGTCACCACCAGTAATAGCTTTGTTTGGCACTAAGGTAATCTTCTTCTTTGGCAATGCTAAATGTCTGTCCTGTACGAAAACGTGGTATTTGTTTTTATTAGAGAAAGGGGCGCTTATAACCAAGTATCTGGTTAATATTTATCTTGAAATCGTAACTGTCCAATTAAAGGTTACAAGGAAGTGGTCTCTGTGATAAGCGCCAACGGCCATGCAAGAAGGTGACTGTGATGGGAAATGGCTTCATCAACTCGACAAACGTAACTTGTCACGTGAAAGAATACAAGGTATCAATTTAAGATTAACCATAATAATATATCATTTACCAGCAAAGATTAAGGAAACTGCCCTCTCTAATTTTGATTACTAGTTTTAGTCCACTTTTCCGTTACACAGCACAGTCACAGTTCTTTTTTTCCCATATCTTGACGATCTGTTTAAATATCTAGAAAATGCTTTAAAAGGTCTTTTTTCTATTTTCGGTTTTTGCTGAATCTTTGGTTTTTTTGTTTTGTTTTGTTTTTTTGCATTGTCTGTATCCTGTTGTCTTCGTTTTTGATTAGTTTTTGCTTCTTCTTTGTTTTTTTTTTCTTTTCGCGATACCCAGCAAATTTATAAATTATAAATTATAGTTAATGATGAAACTACTAGCATATAAGGGCAAAGTAAACAGAAAACAATTGTCAAGTGCTAATAATAGTAAGAGTACAAAGGTCAGATGAGCTTGCATTGATTGCACGTGCAGCCAATTATTGTCCAATCACTGCTTTTCTTTCTCTGTGTCAATCAAACTGTGCTTAGCATGCCTGCTTCTGTTCAGTGATTTATAACAGTAATTCAGATCACAAGGATTAATAATTTCCTCCCACCCTTCCCTATTGATAGCACTTGACAATCACTACTATTCAATGTAATGAAAAGACTTTAATCTACGTTTCATTCTAATAACAGTTAAAGCATCATCGAGGGATACAAACTTTGACAATTTGACTCCTAGAGATATCAATAGGTTGATGTTATTTTTTAGCCATTATTGGCTGTTATACATGATGTTATAGTTTCTCACATATTAATAATTAAGAACTGTTATCTCAAGAAAAAATGTTTAATAAACCAGGGTTCGGGATTAAGTGCTACCATGCTGGTCACACTTTCACCCATAGACTCATGGCGGCTATTTATTTTGGGCATCGGTACCACTAGCCACTACATGTTGCCATGGGAACTTGGGGGATCCCGGAGGATTATTACCTCCAAGAGGGGACTACTACCCCTCTGTCGGCCAAGGGATTATCACCCTTGATAGAGAATTATCATCTCTTTTGCCGCATAATTAACTAGCTTCCGACCTGCATGTTATGTCAGCTATTTTGTGACTGGAGGGCTTAGTCCCCTACCCCTTTACCCCACAAATGTGTTCTTATTGTTGACTCTAGCTAGTAGGTTGAGAGCATTAATGGGCAGTTTGTAAACAGCATGTTCCAGCTTTGTGCGTAGAACCTGTTGGTAATTATTACCATGATCATTGTTATTATCATTATTATTTTATTTTACTTTTATTTTTATCTTTAATGGCGGCATCTATGGTCAATTGTTTAGCACATTTAAGATAAATTTTTCCAACGTTTAGACTTTAGGTTACTTAGCGGAGGCTCTAAGCACAGCAGTCAGTTATTTAAATGCCAGCAATAAAAAATGTAAATGGTTTTTATTAGTCGGTTATCCTTCCTTTGAAGTATGCATCGCCTCACCTAAGCACTTCCCTCCTCTTTTACTCGCAAAAATAACAATACTTTTTTTTTCCTTCAGTTTCATTCCAGCTCAAAGCAAAATAAGCTGTTTACAATAATGCAAAGATCTTGACGTAAAGCTAGCTTTTCCCCGTATTTCAAACTAAGAAATCATATTGTAACATGGCAAGCTCCATTCACCTACCTAGAAATCAGTTTCCTCTTCATTGCTTGATCTCAAGAAAAGCTCAGAGTTCACTGCCTTTCCAAAACTACGCGTGAATGCAGGCGGAACTGAAACAATCCCTAATATGAAGATACTTATCTGAAATACAAAAAAAAGAAAAAGAAAAAAAATAGTTACTATCTATTTATCTGGAAGGTCTTCAGTATTTACTAAGCTTTTCTTTCGACATTAAATATACTTCAATTACAATTTAGGTAATAAATAGCTCGTGGACTCCAGACAAAACAATCCAGCGATTCCCTGGCGTTATGACAGATTTGGTATTGGTAGAATGTCATTTGCCTGATTCGCCCGTCAAGCACAATTTCTTTGATGACACCGTTGAAGGAACTCCTGCAGCAGGACTCTCAATATCGGTTTCAAATGACGGCGCAAACCCAAGTCATGATGAGTTGTCATTTATATCATACGACTCTGGATGCATGAGTTGCAATATTTCTTCAGGATGCCTTGTTAAAGTTAGTGCATTGTAGTATTGATTTTTGTTTGTTTTTATTGTAATAGCTTGCAAAAGGGATATGTACCTAATCATTTCACGCCATGCTGAACAACTGCTGATCATCATCATCATCATCATTATCAACATGCTTTTCTTTCAGAGTAATTCTTGCTTGATAAATCAATATTGCTTCGCCGCAAACGAAATGAACCCCACTGATTTCTGTTCTCAATGTCTTCCGGAGATCAGCAAAAACACATGGACAAAACGACAAGGTTAGCTTGTGATTATATCTACAATTACTCCTACTTTCGACCAATCATTTTTCAAGTCTCTCATCCATCATATCTATCAGTATTTCTTAGCCATGGTCTTGGTTTTTTCCCCTTTCATTTACTCATCTTGCCCAACATAATTTTTTGCTCAGCTATTCACATCTTTTTTAACAATACATACTTCATTTACCCTAGGTGTTAAGTGCGGTTCGAAGCCAAAGGCTGGGCACAAAATCTCCCGTACCGAATTTTATTTTTTTTCCATAATCATGTTATTGACTTAGACTATGAGTCGTCTAAAAAATTATTTGTAGGCCTAAAAATCTTGGCATCGAGCAACTTAGTGACACCAACTACCAAGGCTTTTATGAAAACAACATCTACATCCAACTAGACATCAAATGCATTCAGTTCCTTTGTTTGATTTCTTCGTAACTGTTGATCTTACTTTAAAAAAAAGTATCTAAAGGACTAATTCAATAAATGGTTTGAACTCGAGGTAACAATTAATTTTGATCATTCAGTATGATCGTCTTGGTGACAGACAGTAGTCCCGGGAGAGATTATAGTTAATAATGGTGACTGACGTTTCGACAACCTTAGGGGAAGTCGTCATTCGTGTCGAGAGTTATCTGCTCGGTCAGTTTTTCCGTACGATTATTGGTAAGTCGGTCCTTATTGGTCGGTTTTGATCTGTCGGCATGACAGGTCGTTCTTTTTGGCTCCTTTTTTGACTACTTCATTGCACGTAAAATTGAATTGTGAAAAAAAAAAAAAAAAAAAAAAAGACACCACGAACCCGCAAAGCCTGGAACACCGACGAATGCGCAGTGAGTCAAACAAATCCGAGTATCTATGATTCTTCTTTTAAACACCAGGGTACAGTTTTATAAACGGCGGATAACGCTAGCTATCCAACGGATAATTGCTATCTGGCGCATAAGTGATGGAAAAACGTATATTGTTATCCAACGGATATATTTTATCCATTGGATAGCATTATCCAACCATAGAACAAACGGAGTCGGTTGAAAAGTCAAAAACTACTCTTGCATTGTAATCTGAGGTCAGGACAGAGTAAACAACAAGTCGCTACGGTATGTCTCCGAGACAGACTCCCCCGAGCATGTGCACTGCTTAAGAAGCAAGTCGTGATCGCTGCATAATTCGCCAATGTGATTCGTAGTTTTTTTGTGAAAAAACTGACCATATTTGGGCAAAACTTTTAGACGCTTTTAGGTCATAAGCTTCTTTTGTTGGTTATTTGTGCCATATTACCGTTGTTTGACGCAACCTTTCGACTTAAGTTTTAAACGAAAAGTAGCCTAATTCATTAAAAATCCTTGCTGTTTTGTTTTCCTAGCTGGTATATATGTATATGTATGTTTTTGTATATTCCTATATATAAAGCTTACATACAAAAATTTTTTTTCCGGTGGAATTGTATCTTTTGGCTTAATTTTTAAATATCTTAATTGTCTCAACGATCTACATTTTTTCATTACAAAAAAGCCCTATCCTAACACATCTGGTTATTTTTATGTATAGTAAACCTTGCCCCAAAATTTGCATCAACCTCTCAGTATTACGCGGTGTTTCAAGAAACTCTGGAGTTGCCTATTGACGTTCTGGATCCAGAAGGCATGCCTCTAGTAGTTTCTCTCGTGAATGGAGGTCCAACTCAGGCTATCATACAACAAAACGTTTTGATATGGAATGCGACTAAAGATATCATGACCCATTTCTTACTCAAAGCTACTGATGCCTGTCAGGCCGTTTCTTCGCACAATATCACCGTATCTTTAGTCAACTGCCAATGTCAAAACCATGGAAGATGCGTTCCTCATCCAGATAAACCAAGAGGATCGGGTTATTATGAGTGCCATTGCCTTCCTGGATTTACAGGAGACAAGTGTGAGACAGACATCAACGAGTGTGAATTATACCCATGTTTAAGAGGTAGTTAAGACTTTCGTTTTATATTCGTTATCTCATATTTTTTGCGGACATTAAAAATAAAGTTCTCTAAGAGCAAAGCTCGAGGCTAGGAAAACCTTAAACTTCAAAGAAAAGATTATGTGCAATTGAAGGCTTACGAAACTTCGAGAAAAATTCTGTTCACGTTTTTTTCGCAGAACGCAAAAACAGCGTTGACATTAGCTAGAACAAAAAAAAGATTATGGTAAATTTGTGCAGTTACAGCAATTTCCAATTAATCTCACTCCTTATGACAGTTGTCAAGGATACTATCCTTTAATAAGAAGGTAAGTGGAGTACTCAAGCGACTGATAGATACATATCTCATAAGAACGAACGAAAATCTTAAGGTCCTAAATACCAGCGCAGTGGTTCCCTTCTCTCTTTTGTTACTGAAACTATAATTGAACTTCTTTTGTGGTTATTTTCTCGATGACATCTTACTGTTAAGGATTGACGGTCAGCCTTTTTTTCCACTAAGGTCGTTGCGTTGATGGAGTGAATAATTTCACCTGCATCTGCTATCCAGGATATGTTGGAAGGACATGCAATGAAAATTATGACGACTGCAGTTCTTTGCCGTGCATTCATGGTCAGTTTCCAACTCTTTTAAACAATTAACCTGAAGAAGCGGAAGAACTTTGTTAACAGTGTTTGACTTTCTTCCAGAATTTTAGATTCGTGGTTAGAGCATAAGTTTTTGTAGAGATTGATTTTTTCCTTGTTTAGATACCCGCACAAAATAAATTTGGATTCCTATTGAGGAGATAATGACGATAAGTGAAAGTGATGTGCCCGCGTACATTTGATTTATATTAAGGGATCAGTAAAACTGTTTCCATACGCATTCAGTAAGCATACACTGCAAGTGAATACCAGCCCTTTTTTTGTTATTACACGAAAATAAATATTATTTTTTATTTTAAAAGGTAACTGCACTGACTATGTTAATGCATATGGATGCAGTTGTGAGCCTGGATACACAGGGAAGAACTGTAGCATTGACATCGATGACTGCCAGGCATCCCCTTGCAAGAATGGTGAGTAATATAAATGGAAATCATTGCCTTAATTTCTTGATCTATTTGCACCCACCCCTTTTGCATTCTTGTACAGTAACTCCTACACTTCTGCACTTCTGCACTCCTGCTCCCCTGTGCTTCTTCATCACTGCACTAATAGCACCCTACACTTCTTCACTCTTGCATTCCTACCTTTCTGCCCTTTCTACCTTCCAGCTCTCCTTCATTGTTACTCTTTTGCATTGTTTAGTTCCTGCTCCACAGTCACCATGTACTTATTCACACCCTCGCACCTCCTCTCATTCGCTTCTGAAGTGCCGCACTTCTTCACAGTCGCGCTCCTACGCACATGCATGCCTTCAATTCTGTACTCCAAACCTCCTCCCCTCCCCCTGCACTTCTATATTCTTTCACCACTTACTTAACCAGTCCATTGACAATTATTGATCAACCAACTTCATTCACTTACGACCAACGGCAACAGCTGTATTATTCTATCATTTTCTTTTTGCCAGGAACATGTTATGATGCTCTTAATGGGTACACTTGCCAATGCAACGATGGTTTCACCGGTTATGACTGTAATGTAAACATTGATGAATGCAAGTCTAACCCGTGCATCTACGGTAGGAACCTCATGTTAGGCTTATTTCAAATATGTATGATGGAAAACACAAAGGGTATAGTCTTATTGGCTATGTACATTTTAATTTTTTTGCTTGTTTATTTTTTGTTTGTTGGTTTTGTTGTTGTTGTTGCTGTTGTTTTTAATATGCAAATCACCTCAAAATAATAAACGCTTTCCACAAGCAGTGGAAAACATACCTCTTCCGAGATATCGCTGATCAGTATATGTTTCCTGGGACTTATCATTCTTGCGGTGATTGTTAAAGTTATCTGTCCCTTCCTTCTTTAAAAGGCCAAAACTGATGCTTGACAAATCTTTATTTGCAAGAGGGAAACCGCAGATATCCAATCTGTGGAACAATACTGTGTTGCAAGATACAAAAAAGTTATTATTATTTTCGCAGAATGTTGTTACAGATTGCGTAGAGCGACGATTAATACAAAATGCCACAACACTTATTACAACCCGCCGTCCAGTTAGCCCAATGGCTAGTACGCTGGGCTGTTGTGTGGGAGGCCGGTCGAGGGTTCGAGGCCCGGCTGGACAACCACTCAAGGTCTTAAAATAATTGAGAAGAATTTGCATCCTCTCTATAACATCAAGAAATGGTTAGATATTCTAGTCTTCTCGGATAGGGACGAATAAATGGAGGTCCCGTCTCCTGCAGGGTCGGGGTAGGAAACGTTAATTTCCCACACACGAGATTACTATGTGATGGATGTCGTCCCCTGGGGTGGGATGGTGGGTTTGTTTTACTGTGAAGGCCGTAAGTTAGATAACTGATTGGGTTAATTACGACACCTTCGTTAAATAAAGAATATTGTATTGTATTGTATTTTAGCTCACCTTTATCACAAGAATTGAATGCTATAATACTTATTACAAAATGCATGAGTTAACGGTTAGGTCAAAGAATTTTTTCGTTAGTACCATAGCCATAATGTTTAAAAAATCACACTTTAGGAACATGTGTGGACCAGATAAATAACTTTACCTGCCACTGCACGGCTGGTTTCACCGGACCGAAATGCGAAGAGAACATAAATGACTGTCTACAACTGAAGTGTGGGGATGGTAAATATCTCCTTCGATTTATTGGCATTTTGTCTGCCCAAACTAGACATGAACATAAGGAAATGGTGTGATAATTATACCGATAAAGCAATAAAATATAAAAGGTCCAAGGAAAAATATGTAAACTAAATTCGTGCATGCGTTCCATGAGCATAACAGCATGCCGCTCATACTTCTTACTTCGATTCCCGCCTCTCTTAAAGTGATAGTCCCCTCATGCCTGTAAATCAGCTCTGCAGTTTATCGTCAATATTCATCAGTTTAAATTTAATTTTTATCCCCTTTTCGTTCACATTTTAGGAACATGTGTTGATCTCGTAAATAATTACACCTGTAATTGTTATGCTGGCTTCACTGGTAGAAACTGTGATATACTTATCGCAAATTGCGCCAAAGATTCTTGTTTTCCAAACGTCACTTGCTACGAAAAAGGCAATTCTATCATCTGTGGTCCATGTCCCTCTGGATTAACAGGAGATGGCAAACGTTGTGAAGGTAATTTTATTAAGCCAATACGTCTTGAAAACCTAGCTCAAAATCTGAGCTGTATGTACATTACGAACCGAGTTTTTGCCCCTTTTGATATTGCTTCAAGCATAATTTCGAAAAGCGTTGGCAATAAATCTGGGGATAGCATGCGGATAGGCCCTCATCATTATAGTTGCGTGGCGTGTGTTTCTCCACCGGCAGGCAGATTTGAGACGAGAAGGGGAGGGACATATCGAGGGTCTGGCACTAATGATATCAGTGTTAAACTCCTTAGAGACCTCTCACCAGATCGCATTGCTCAAGGGTTCGTACTTTCCCGCGTGTAAAGAAAAAACTGAGCGCAAGCGCTAATAAATAGTGCCAGCTTATGGGTGAATCTCAAGGTGAGTAACTCTGTAACTTACGATCTGTACCAGTGGGCCTTGCTAGGGATAACAAACCCAAAAATTGACCAATCAGAGAACGAACACATTTGAGGGACGCAATAAAAGTGAACATAGCCTTGGCTCAAAAACCGAAAATGTATGATATGCGAATTGATGGCGTATGATGGCCCTTTCTCGTAAAAGCAAGTGAAATAGTACATTTAATAATAATGATAGAAATTATGATAATCCCAAGAAAAATTGAAACTAATAAGTACATAATGATACTGAAAAAGAGACAAAGTTTTGAATTTAACTCGCAGGGCAGCGTGGTCATTTTTTGTTTTCATTACCGCGCTCTCAAGCATGCAATTCTTGTTCACAGACATTGATGACTGTGTTAATCACACGTGCAGAAATGGCGGATCTTGTGTCGATGGGATGAAAAGTTATTCATGTAACTGTTTAGCAGCATTCACTGGAGAT